TAATTTTTAATTAATTGCTGGCTTATCTCAGAACTTCACCAAGAAGCACCTGCATAGGCTGTTGTGGTTCCTGAAGCTCTCCCCCTCTCCTGAGTGCCTTCCCAGACCCCACTACAAGGCCTCTCCCACGGCCTCCTACTTCCTTCATAACCCAGGCTGCTTGCTGCAGTCCTAATCCCCAGATAACTCAGATTTGACTGTGTTTGGAGATAGGGTCTTTAAAGAGATAATTCAGTTAAAATGATGTCATATGGGTGGGCCCTAATATGATATGACTGGCATCCTTTGTTATAAGAAGAAATTAGAGCCAGGCATGGTGGCTCACACCTGTAATCCTAGCACTCTGGGAGGCTGAGGCAGGAGGATCGCTTGAGATCAGGAGTTCGAGACCAGCCTGAGCAAGAGCGAGACCCCATCTCTACTAAAAATAGAAAAAATTAGCTGGGTGTGGTGGCATGTGCCTGTAGTCGCAGCTACTCAGGAGGCTGAGGCAGGAGGATCGCTTGAATCCAGGAGTTTGAGGTTGCTGTGAGCTAGGCTGACTCAAGGGCACTCTAGCCCCAGCAACAGAGCAACACTCTGTCTCAAAGACAAAAAAAAAGAGATTAGGACACAGATAAACATAGAGGAAAGACAATGTCAAGACCCAGAGAGAAGCTATCTACAAGCCATGCAGAGAAGCCTCAGAAGAACCCAAAGCTGCCACACCTTGATCTAGTGAATTTGTTACGTAAGCCAGCCGTCTGTGGAATGTTGTTATGGCAGCCCAAGCAAACTAACACACCTGTCCTGACTTTTAGCCAAAGACAGGCTTAAGAGTTTATTTGATTTATATGGAAGTCAGTATAGTTTTGCAGATAGGGAAATTTAATAGGTATTTTGGTTCATTTACTGAAAAGCTTTTTATAATGCCAAACACAACTGCAAATCACAAGAAAGCACTCCTGGCTTCTCAGATTCTCTTTTTCCTTTATAACCGTAGGGCAATGCATCAAGCCCACCCAGAATAACTCACTCCCCATAGACTTCCTTCAATCTGAGGGCATCAAAATTTCCCATGATAATTACTTCAACTTAAAGTTTTAGGTGGCTCAGGCCTTGTGCTCAACATTTTATGGGTTGGATCTCATTTAATCCTCAAAAAAAAAAAAAAGTAACTATTATCTCTACTGGACAGAGGAAGAAACCAAGGCTTTGAGAGTTTAGAAGCATGCCCTGGGTCATACCTAGAAGATTCGAAGTCAAGTTTATCTGGTGACAAAACTATCTGCCTGTAGCCACTGTACATTTTGTACAGATATTCAAACCATGCCTAACTGCCATTCAGGCCCCATACACAGAAGCCCTTTAAAGTATTTTTATATCTCCTTGCAGCATCACAATGATTTTGCGGCCAAGGAAACAAAGGTTCTGAGAGACAAGAAGAAATGGCCATGTTGAGCTCACATGACAGGTCCTAGTTGTATAGTGACGGTCCCTGGCTGTCTCCAAACTGACAAATCCCACAGAGATGCACTCTCAAAGAGATGAGGAGGCACAACCTTAAAGACACCCACCTACAGAAGGGTTTCTCTCTAGGAAGACCTAGCACCACAAGAGACCAGACATCCTCCTGGGAGTCTAATTCAATCGCTCCGGGGAGGGACTCATAGTTCCTCAGGGGACTGGAGAAAAGCTTTGATGTAAAAAGCCATCAGCTTAACAAAAACCACACCCAGCACACAGTATGGGATATGCAGACTCCCAGCTCCCCCTCCCACATTCCTTAAGGCTGCATACCTGGGTCTCCATTGAGTTGGCCTGGTGCTCTGCTTGAGAGCCCAGAGCCCTGTGCCAGGGCCACAGGCTGGGCATCCTGGCTCTTTGCAAGGTTGCTCTGGGACTCTGCTGACAGTCGCTCCTGCTCCTGTTCCAGAGGGCTGTCCCCATCATCAATCACCACGGGGTCTTCACAGTGCTTGAGCTGCAATCCCAGAGAGAGCTTTTCAGGGCTAGGTAGAGAGGTTCTCTCCCTCCCTGGTCCTGCTGCTGACCACCAAGTTCAACCTGAGCCTTGGACGGGGTGGGGTGGGGAGGGGGGAATGACACAATCATGCCCAAATTAGAGCCTTTATGGAGTGACACCTGTTTTCTTAGGAAACTCCAGTCTGGGCCTAACCTAGGTATGTGGCTCCAGATAGAATGAATTCCTCATCCCCGGAAACCAATTGCATGACCCAGCCAAAGTGATTGAGCACGGGGCTGTCCAGCCCAGGTCACACCCATCCCAGTCCCACCCCTCCTCTCACCCACTGCCAGGGTCTCCCGGGCTCCCGTTCCAGTGCCTCCACGGCAGCCACAGCCTGCTCGCCACTCTCGGGCTCTTGGGCCCGCACCCAGCTCTGAATCTCCCGGGGCAGGATGGCCAGGAATTGCTCTAGCACCAGTAGCTCCAAGATCTGCTCCTTGGTGTGCCTCTCAGGCCGCAGCCAGCCTCGGCACAGGTCCCAGAGGCGGTGTAGGGCCTCCCGGGGGCCTGCTGCCTCCTGGTAGCGGAAACGGCGGAAGAGGCGACGAGAGGACTCGGGGCTGGGAAGCTCCCCCTGGGGGATAGGGTTCTCTCCAGGTGGGCTCCTCATTTTCCTGGGCTCCTCACTTTCTTTTGGAGCCAAGACTCGGGGGCACAGGGCTGTGGGCATGATGGGATTTGATGGGGGTCAGCAGCAGAAGACGACCCTATTTCCAAACAGAAATCACTGGCTTCAATGTTCTGGTTTTCTTCAGCCATTTCTGGGGGGTAGTGATAGGGAAACTGACAAAGCCCACAGAGACCAGCCCTTTGGAGAAGCCATGGGAAATGTAAGAAGTGTCATCCTTACACATGAAAATGGGAAAGAGAGTAAGATCCCCCCCATCAGTATCATTACATGTGGATACCCCTAAATGGGTGACTGAATGAAAAAGCAGGAAATCTGGGAGAAAAGCGGTGGCATTTCAACATGACATTGGTGTTTCAAGCATCCCAGGAGACCAACAGGGCCACACACAAGAAAAAGATGTAATCAAGACTCTCTGGTACCTTTGGTGGCCAGGTCCTCCTGGAGAGGACCTGAGATAGACGTGTCAAGCAGGCCACTACCTTGAGGCTTTGGAGCCAAAGTCACCGTCCTTGTTCTTAAGACCTTTACAAACTGAGCTGGAAAGACAAAGACACACATGCATGAGAAAAACCTTCAAAGTGTATTCAGGAATGGAAAATATATCCCGCTGGTGGCGGACCACTGGTGCTGCATGCTGGCCAGTCAACAGAGCCAGAATCAGCCCCTCCCAGCAGAGCCTGCACTGGGTGGCAGGGGATAAGCACAGGCAAGAAGACACCCAGACAGAGATGGGGAAACTCACAAGAGGTGGCCATATGCAGTTTACCAGAGAGAAATAACACGGTGTTTAACATCAGTGCTTTCATATGAGTGGTCCACCCAACTCACTTGAACATCTCAACAGTAATCTTTATCATATAAAGATACCTTGACCTTCAACCTTGTCTCCACCTTCTTCCCTACCGTTGCCCTCTTCAAACCACAGTCAAGGCATGGCACACACCTCACAGACCTTCCCTGGTCAGGACAGAAGAGGGGATCACTCACCGCACAGCTCTCAGCCCTCACGGAGACCATGGATATCACAGGCCACGACACACATTCCCACGATGGGAGTGAGGGGTCCCCACACCTCCTAGGCTGTTGTGTAGACAACCCGGCCAACACACAGAGAGGGACAACAGAGACAACAAGTGCATCTGACAGGTGTTCACTGATCCACACTTTGGGACACAGGGGAAGTGAAAGGGCGGATAGGGACACACATGCACCACTGCCATCAAGCCTCTATGGTCTCTAGGCACAGCCACTGGCCCTCCGCACCCCCATCTGTATGTGGTTCTCCAGCCTGGCAGCCTCTTAACCTCCAACAGGTCACAGGTGCGGATGGGGCACAAGAAGACAAGCGATGCCAGAAAAGCTACAAAGCAACTGAGTGGCGCAGGAAAAACCCAAGTCTCTGAACCTCTTTGCTTTCCAAAGTAAAGGCATGCAGGCAGGCAGGAGCGGACTGTGAAGGATTCTGGCTGGACCGTTGCAGCTCTCCTCACCACCAGACTCTCTTCCACAGCGGCTCCGGCATGCGGAACCCCTCTGGGCCCCACCCACTCTCCTCACCTGCCCCCTCTGGCCACCGGCAGGGTCCTGATTACTGGGGTCTGCCCCCATGCTGAGGCACCGAGCGCCCCACCCTCAGCATCCAGTTCCTGCTGCGACTCTGCTTAGAATCATCTCTAACCAGACAACCGTGCTCCTCTTTGTCACCCGGGCACCTGACGTGCAGGAGGCTCAGGAGAAGATTCCTGATGAATGAACCAACGTAGATAGGGGAGGGTTCCCGCGGGGGCGGAGCTTGCTTCAAGCAGTTCTTGGAAGAGGACGGAGCAGAATCGGCAGAAAGGAAAAGAGGAGGGCATTCTGAGCCAGGAAAGGGGGGAAGCGCGCGCGCGCTCTCTCTCTCTCACACACCCCGCCGGCTTACCCGCTCCGGCTCCTCACCTCCCAGCCTGGAACTCCGGCCCGGCGTCCGCCGCGGACCCCTCCTGCTGCAGCGGAAGTCCAGGGCAGCCGCTCCGCATCCTTCCAGCGCGGTCTCCCGGGGTCCTGGCTGCGGCGGGGTCTCCGCAGGGGCCCGACGACGCCTCCCGTGGCCAGTGCGGACCTCGACTTGCGACCATCCAGAACCCCACGGCTCGGCTAGGAAGCAAATGGAGGCGCCTGAGAAACAATTGTGTCGCCGCGTCCCCCGCCCGCACGCCCGCGACCGCTCGCCCCTGGCCGGGAGGCGGCGCCGGCACGGCCGGGCCGGGACGCTCGCGCCGCGGCGGGCGGGGCGGGGCCGGGCGCAGGGGCCCGCGGCACTCACCGCCGCGGCGCGTCCCGGTGGCGGGCCGCTCAGGCCTGGCCGTCGCCGGAGCCCGCCGGACGCCGCGGAGAGGAAAGGCCGGAGCCCTCCGGCTCCCTCCCCTGGGACACTTCCTGCTCCGCTCTAGGACCGGGGAGGTCTCTGCATCTCAGTGGTTCGCTCCCCGCCCCCCGGCCGAGGTGTGCGCGGGGGGTGACATCCGACACCCCCGGCCCGGGCCGCGCGCCCCGCCCCGCCCCGCGCGCGCCCGGGCCTGGCCGCCGGGCCGGGGGCTGTGGGGGCGCCACTCCGGCTGCCGGGCCTCCGCGGGCCCGCGCGGAGGACGGGGCCGGGCGGACGGGAGGCAGGGGCGTCGAGGCGCGGCGGAGAGCTGGGTGCCGAGGACGCGGCGGGCTGGGGGCTCTGCTTCCCCTGTTCCCCCGTTCCAGCTCCCCCCGGCAGCCGCGGCCGGAGGGGAATGCGGGAATGGGGGGTGGGCGGGCGTGGGGGGCGAGGAGCGAAGGAAGGGGGCTCCCGCGCTCCGACGGCCGCCCCATTTCGGTATCCGCCTGTGACCACCCCGCCCGGCGCCGGGCAGGCCCAGCCCTTCCCGCCAAACCCCTCCTCGAAGCCCGGCCCTACACGCCTCTTTCGGGCTAGCGGGGCTGCAGACTCGCAGACCCGTTTCCCCCTACGTCCCCCACCGTACGCGAAGGCATGTCCCCGCGCCCTCTTGGCGTGAAGCTGGTTTGCGGAGTGTCACCGTGTAAGAAAGGCTGCCCGCTATGTGGCCACTCTGAGCGTCAGGACGGGCCTGAGCAGTGCTCAGAGGGGCTGGGGCGAATCACCGCCCCGAGTAGGGGAGTAAAGGCTGCCCCTGCTCACACTGGGCCAGAGGCAGAACGTAAGGGACTTGGACCGAGGTCATGTGGCAGTGAGGGGCAAGCAGGAGTTATGGGCCTCCGGATCCCCCCCCCCAAAGACAGGGCTGCTGGCCACTATCCTACGCTGAATATATCCCACATTCTCAGGTGGCTTTTCCCAGGGACATCCTTACTTTTTCAGGCTCCAGAGCTTGGGGGAAAGTGCATCCCGGCCCCTGAGCAAGCTGATCCCCACAGCTCCTTCTCCATCCGCCCTGCACTGAAGCTGGACTCTCCCTCAGAAGAGAAAAATCTCCATCTACTGGAGGGTAGCTACCTCGGGTAGCTCTGATTTCCTTCCGGTCCTGTTTCAAGGGCAAGCAGAAGGAAACCAGTTCCCCCAAAGAAAGTGGTTTGGCCAAGAAGTAGGGCGAAGGTGGTTGGACCAAGGCACAGGATCCCTTAGCTGCGTGGTTCTTCCCATTCCATGGGCTTGGGTGCCTCCATTTCCTCCTCTAAATTACTGGAATAATCACTTCTGACAAGCAGAATTACTGGGAGCCACCATTTGTTAAATGCCCAGATTCTGTGACTTTAGCAGGAGATGGACTAAGCAAAGGAGTGAAGCTGTTGTTTGTAAACAGTGATTGTTCCCCAAATGACAGCCAAACTTGGACAGGGCTGTCCTGGAGCCTAAGGGTACCAGAAGGAGCCACCCCTCTTGACTTTGTGTGATTCATGCACTCCTCTCTTTCGGGAGCACCAGCCAGGAACCATGGCCTGGAGGAGAGGCATTGGGGGTGGGGGTGGGACCAAAAATCAGCAAAGGCTGGTCAGGCTTAGGTGCTTTAGCAAACGTCCCAGCCTGTGGTGTTCTGCAGCAGTCCTGCTGGAGCTCCCAGCCCTGTGACTGGCCCAGGAACCAGTAATTGAGTGTTTGGGAACCAGTGCTCATAGCTCTGCCCCCTGCAACCCTAAAGCAGATAAAATGTAAGGCCCACAGATTGCCGGCAGACAGCATCAGGTTAATTCCCATTACTCAATCCAGTTCCTTCCCTGAACTGACACCTCCCTGCACAGCTGTCCCTCTCACTGTTAACCTTGAAAGGCTCAGAATATACTGTTTATGTTTCTTCTTCATTTGGCTCAACACGGGTTAAGAGTCTGGGTTCTGGAATCAGATCACCTGGGTTAAATCCTAGCCAGGTGAGCTCAGGCCTATGCGACCTTTGTGTACCTCAGTTTCCTCATCTGTAAAACAGGGATGATGCTATCGACCCCATTTCTTGGTTTTGTGGGATCATTCAGTCATTCAGCAAAAGTGTACTGAGCGCCTGCTGGACATTTGCAATGCTAGGCACCCTTCCAGGAGCTGATACATCTGCAAACACAACCGGCTCAACTGGCTATCGGAGGGAAGCAAAATCAATGACGTGCTCTGCACTGTAGAAATAAAGGAAGACAGGAGTGCTGGGGAGGGGCTGGTGATGGTCAAGGTATTAAAGAGGAGGGCAGGACAGGCCTCACTGTGAAGGTGATAGTTGAGATGAGGGAGTTGATCAAGCCTGTAGCTGGGTGGGCCTATCCCAGGTGCTGGCCACCTTGACAGTAAAGGCCCTGGGGTAGGGGATATGCAAATCAAGGTGGCCAGGAGGCAAGTAGGGGCACTGGAGGCCATGGGAAGGTGTTTTCCTCTGCACCAAATGAGGTTGTATCAGATACTGTTGGTAAAGCATGGGAAAGAGGCCCCTGCATGTATATCCTGCTCAGTGACTATCAGCTGTCATCATGCCCAATGTGTACATTTATTCGGTTTATATTATGTTGCTGGTTGTGTATATTTTTATGAAATGTTTGCCGTGTGTCAACAATTATTCCATCCTTGGGGAGTTCATGGTAGACAGAAGAAATATTCTAGTTCCAAGAAGCTGGGAGGGGAATCAGGTAATAAATAAATGACTCTGCAATTTAATGCTATTAATGATAGGTGTCATGAAAAAAATAAAACGGTAAGGAGGAGTGTGCCGGGACAGTCAGGTACGGCCTCTATAAGGAGGTGACGTTTGAGCGGAGAGCAGGTGGGGGGCACCTGAATAGAGGTATGTGGGAAGAGCATTCCAGCGGAGGGAACAGCATGTGCGAAGGCCAGGATGTAGGAGCTTGCTTGGCTGGGCAGAAGAATAGTGGGAGAATGAATGGTGGAACCAAGTGACTGGATTTTGCACTCATTAGAGCATTTCAAGTGGAGGGCCGTGGCCTGATGGGATCTTCATTTTACCAAGATCACTATACAGAACAGATTGGAGTGGGACAGAGGAAGAAGAATTCCTATTAGCAACTGCTGCAGAAATCCAGGCAGGAGATACTGGGTTCTGGACTCAAGAGTCAGCTGGCAGAGGCGGAGTTGGTGAGCAGTGGCCCGATTCAGGCTCCGTTCAGGCTCCGTGTTGAGGCAGAGCAGATTTCCCAGCGGCCTGCTGTGGGTGTTGAAGGAGTGAGGGGTGACTGCAGTTCGGGCCTGAAATGGGTGACTGGAGTGTCCTTCCAGAGACGGGGAATTTGAGGAAGCAGATCTCTGGGAAGGAGGTGGGTTCGGGGCTTGCTGGTTTCGAGATGCCCAGTGGACAAGTAAGTGTTAATGACCCTGTGGAGAAGAAAGCCACGGTTGGAGGTGGAAATCTGGGGTTACAGCATGTAGCAGGAGTCAAGTGGACTGAGAAGCCCCTCTGGGAGGGCAGACCCAAGGAAGCCTAGAGGGCGGAAAGGAAGGGGAAGAGAGCCGGGGCTGTTGTCAATTTGTGGTAGAAGGAAGACTAACTGCAAGTGTGGTGCCCCGGAATCCAAGTGAGGCGAGTGTGTTTCAAGGACGAGGGAGGGTCAGTAGGGATAAATGCTGCGTAGAGATTAAGTTAGATGAGCAAAAACACTGACCGTTGAATTTGGTAGAGAGGCCCCCCTGAGCGAAGCAGAGGCAGGGAGCTGCTAGGCCAGAGCACTTTTTGGAGAGAGAAGGGAGATGAGGGAGTGGAGACAGCCCTGGAGAACAATGGCTGTGGCTATTGGTCCCATCGGAAAGATAGGAGAAATTACAGTGCATGGCCTGGAAGGGGGAGGGGCTGGGGTCCAGGGCCTATTAAAGAGATTGGTTCTGTTAAATTTGGAGTCATTCAAAAGGCTGCACTCAGGGATCCATAAGGCCAAATGTGGCCCCCAGGCCACAGGTTCCTAGCCCTGGAAGGGGAGGCAGTGACCGTGAGCAGCAGGGGAGGCCACCTCTAGACCCCAAGGCAGGTCAGCCCGAGCCGGGTAATGAGAGTATGTGGCAGGCTTCTTCCAACTCTATTACCACTCAAGTAAAATAAGAAACGGATGTGATGGTTTATTTTATGTGCCAACTTGGCTAGGCTATGGTAACCCAGTCTAGATGTTTCCATGAGTGTATTTTTTAGATGTGATCTGTAGACTTTGAGTACAGCACATCACCCTCGGCAATGTGAGTGGGCCTCATCCAATCAGTTGAAGCTCCCAAGCAAAGACCGAGGTTCCCTGAGGAAGAAGGATTCTGCCTGTAGTCTGCCTTAAGACTCAAGTGGCAACATCGACTCTTCTCCAGCCTGCCCTGCAGATTTTGGGCTTGCAACCCCCGCGATCTCATGAACCAATTCCTTAAAAGAAAGCAATCAATCTCTCACGCTCTCACTCCCTCGCTCTCCGTATCCTGTTGGTTCTGTTTCTCTGGGGAACCCAGACTGCTACACTGGGCCCTCAGCTGAAGGAATGTGAGAGCAGGAAGGAGGTGTGAGACAGTCATCTTGCAGAGTTTAAAGGTTAACAGACTGTAGCAAAGGAAATGATAAAGTATGCGTAACATGGAAGGTGAACTGCACAGGGAAATGGGATGTGGAGCTTTCCTAAAATCCGGTAATCCACAAGAGGGCAGCCATTACACCTTTACATCTCCCCCTGGGAGGAGGTTATCATTCCACAAAATATGCTCATAGACCAATGACAAATACAGGTGTGTAAAGACGTGAAGACTTGTCACCCCATTGCCAGACCATCTGCATCTGCCTCCCCTGGGAGCTGTTAGAAACGACCATCATGACCTGAGCACAGCCTGCTTGCCTAACCAGGCACTGGGGACTGCGTGCTCTTTGCAGTGTGAGCAGCTCTGTTGTAAAGTGGTCAGTACCGGGTCTGGGCA